ACTCTCCGATTAAAAATTCTGAGTCATTATCCATTACACCATGCGCACATCCAAGCTTACAGCACCTGCAATTCCCAAGCGGTCACCCGTCTAGGTACTAATCAGGCTCGATGTTGCTTAACTTTTGTAGGTCGTACGGGGACTGGTGTTTCAACATGATGTGGTCGTAAGCCTTAAAAATTCGATATCAATCATATATATATATATATATATATATATATATATATATATATATATATATATATATATATATATATATATATATATATATTGAAGTTTCAGCGACAGCGACGCCCGGCTTAATTAAGTAAATAAATACGATCGTCAAAGCCTAATGCGTCATCGAAAATTGTTTATGTTATTGATGACGTCAGTATTAAAATGCCCTTCTTAAACGCGTTCCCAGCTTGATTTAAAATTTAATAAAAAAAAAAAACAAAAACAAGGAAACAAAATAACGACAACCTAATTTAAATTTAAATCAATAACTGCTCACCCAGCAAAGACTATGTGAGGAAGCGGATACAATTGTTCACTTGTGTGTAGAGGATCCTCAGTTTGAGAGCCGAGTTAAAAACCTTGATTTCATCCTTTCGTCAAAGGGTGAGTTTATTAATTCTATTTTTTTATCATGTTTAATATATCACTGTACATTTTCGTTCCTGTTTGACGGGAACAATAAATTGTATCAACTTATACGCACGAAATAATATATACAATAACGTATAACCCCACCTAGTGCACACAAAAAAAAAACATAAATTTGTGTTTTTTAATATAATCTTTAATCTTATTATATTTATGATCATCGTGAAAACAAACACACACATGAAAGAAAGACGCTTGTCACGGAATTCTGGGAAATCTTCTTCGCATCTTTCTGATGAACCTATTAAGAACATTTATTTAAATCATGTTGGTATGACGTTTACATTTTTTGTACGAAATGTCATCGATGACAGTAAAAAAAACAAGACATTTATCTGACTAATTATTAATGCCATTCCTCGATAACATGGAAATATTAGCAAAATTAATAATATCAATAGACATATAAACGCCTTTTTCTCTTAATCATCATCATCATAATCATCATCATCATAATCATCATCATCATAATCATTATCATCATCATCCCCTTGACTTTTGTAATTGCAGGGCGGATCCGAATGCAGAAGCCACACTAACTCTTTTCCACAATGTTTTATTAACGGCAGCCATCAGCAATTCTGGTACACTCTTACCTACCCTTTTTTAGACATTGTCCAATCAGTTTTTGCGTTGACGCCCTCTCATACGTCCACCTTCAACAGTGCCTTGTGTGATGGTCTTGCATAGGCTGTCGTGCTTTGTAACGTGTCCAAATCACTTCATTTTTTTTCCGTTTGACAGTGACAAGAAGAGGTTTCTGGTGTCCCACAAAACTTTCAACCCTTTTCCACACAAACTTATTGGCTTTTTGTTCCTAATAGAAAATGCCAGGGAATTTTCTCATGCATTTGTTCTCAAACGCTTGGATCCTTCTCTCTGTATCTGCCAACAGTGTCCACGTTTCACATCCATATAGAGAATGGATGTGAATTTGTACAGTCTGTACTTTGCTTGAAAGCTGATTTTGCTCCTCCATATTCTTGTCAATTTAGCCATCGCTGCCATGGCTGTGGTAATCCATGTGCAGATTTCCGAGTTGCAAGTACGATCTTTAGACAAGATTGCTCCTAAGTATTTAAAACTGGACACTTCCTCCAGTGAACTCCCATCCATAGTAATATTGACACAGGTGTTACTGTTTGTGCTATTCACCATTAGTTTAGATTTCTTGGAGCTGGCCTCCATTTCATATCCTCCTGCTCTTTCAAAAAGTTTGTTGGTCAAGTCCTGGAGCTCACTGTTATTACCTGTTATGAAGTCAATGTCATCTTCAAAATGTAAGTCACAGACGGGTCTGACACCGATAGAGATTGACGTCGATGGTCGTCCAAGGTTTCTTGCATGATTCTCTCTAGAAATAGGCTGAACAATTGCACGCCGACAGTTTCTCTGTTTATGTGTTTCTCGGTCAACCAGGCCGCACAGCAAGGCTAGTAATTAATTTTTCTTTATCAGCTTGTTTCCAAAAGAATCCAAAATATTGTCGGCCATAAAAACTTTGAAGAATGTCACAGGAATTAAAATGAACGAATCCGTCCCTAATCTTGGGCGCTAATCTTTATTTAATCTAATAGATTCTTAGTAATTTCCCTCCGTACGCTCTTAGCCTAACGATTATACTTCGGATACTAACATATGAACATAGGGGTTGCACATGCATCTCCGAACAACCTTCATCACCCACTTCTCCCAATGGGTCTTTTAGTCCTCATGTATATGAGCAAGCTTGCTTATGTCTCTGGCCAGTACAATGTTTCTGATCCAAGGAGGAGCTCTGATGCCTTGACCTGTAGGTGAACAAGACTCGTACACTCGAAGTATCGTGCCTGAATCTTTCCTGGGTTATTTGCTCCCTCATTAAGTGTGCTGGTGGTAAACGTTTTCTGAGTTTGGGCGTTACCGCCTGATAGTCAGGGATCCGAGCCTTCGAGTAATTTCGAAAGAGGCTATCCTATCAACAGGTGTATAATATCGGGTCTATTTTACTTCCATTGTGAATGGTTTCTGGACCCTGCAATAGTCTCCGGTGGGGCCTCTCAATGCCATGATTATTACTGTTACGACAGTATCTCCGGGCGAGTCAACCCAAGTTATTTATGCGTGCATCTCCAATGGGTGTCTGTTTAACTGCCTACTAGTCATCCACCAAACCATCCAAAACAAACTTGAAAGCAACTAAATTGAAAATGAACAAAACTATCGAACCCAACTTCAAAACAAAACAAAAAAGAAGCAAACCCTAGTTATACCATCTCTCGTAAGGGGCGTACGTTCCAACTTTCCATGCATTTAAAATAATCAGCTCCCTGTACCGCTCCAGTAAGTACCTGACTCCTCATATTATACTCTACCTTTATAAGAGCTAGAACAGGCCAAAAATGGAGTACTGTCGACATATTTCGGTGGGAGCTGCTCATACTTCACTTTCCAGTCTTGACAGATGCCAAAAGCAACTCCGATTCCTTGTGCTGGAGAAGAATTTTTTCCTCAATCCAACCTCGCTCTCATAGGCGGGATGTGGTGAGTCTGCGACTACTCTATCACTGCTACCATGGAAAGTGCTCGGAAGAACTGCATCTCTTGGTTCCACCAAGTCTGACCTTCACGGCTAGAACCCGCCATATAACTTACATAGTTACAAACTACCCTCATTCCTTCAGTATTCCATCACACAAACAGCTTCTTCCAGCGAACCGCTACCCCACGGAACAGACTCCCAAGAGGACGTTTCCCCGATCACTACAATCTTAACCTGTTCAAGTCTAGAGTCAACCGTTATCTTTCCCTCCTATTCATATAAACTACCCCTTAACTTAATCCTCTTCCTCGAGTAGCCACCGGGCCTTGTACAGGGCGAACCTTACTGTAAAGAAAGCACGAAACAAAACAAATGCAATCCCTTAGCTTGACATTGATTCTGGATACACATTAGTGCTTCTTCCGTTGGCTGTGAATATAAAAAGGTTGTTTTAGAGTCCAACACGAGAACAAGCCACACAGAGATAGCTATGGAAAAAGCATGGAGAAATGAATTTCAGGTCAGCTAGCATGGGAAATTGATGGCTATAGCAAAGTTGACTGTTACTATGAATTGAAGTAACTTGAATTGAAAGGACAACTCAGTTTAAATTATGGTGCTCCTGGGAATGAGCATATCCTCTTTTCTCTCTACCACGATTATGACAGTTGTCTTGATGACATGTCGGAGGAAGTTCTTGACAGCGGGACGAGTTCTATTGTACATGATGGGCTTTTCAACATCAGGCAGCTCAAAAGAGTTGAGGAACTCATTTAACTTCTGACTAGTCTCCGAAATATCCGGAACTGTTTCGACTGACCTGTGCAGATGAAACTTTCGAGGAATCTTTTGTCACATCTCGGAGTTTATTACTTTGATTGCCTCATTCTTTGGAGCAAGAATTTTGTTAACAATGCCACTGGTAGTTTCTGTTGTTAAGAGCTTTTTTTAAAAAATTAAACAACTGACAAATACAAGTTTAATCCTGATGATTCTTAGAATTTTTGTTTAGAAAATATTTTTCTGGTTTGCACAATTTTCCACAAACAAAACTAAAAATAACGTGATATTTTTCATGAACATTTAAGTTCTTTCGTTTAGTTGAAAGAAGCTTTATTAATCCCCAAATTACTTCTGGTGACCTCCATTGACCTTTGGAGCACCAATTTTCCTATCATTTTTTCCTTTCTAAGTTACTCCCACTTAAAATTCCTATACAAGGATGTAATTGATTGCAACACAAATTATAAAGATCACAGGCTAAATCGTAATTCTGACGCCGGATGTCAAAATTGACCTTATCTCCCTAAATCAAAAATATGTTTTACTTCAGTGCAACTCAGTGTAGGATTAAAATGACCTATAATAAAAAATTTAGCAGGTTTAGCTGGGCAGGCAGGTGAAAGATATAGTCAATCACAAGCCTCTTGCTAGTAACGGGAGACGGAGATTTGCCCGGACAGGAAAAGAATAAATTGAACAGCAGACATGCAAAAGGAAGACCGTTCTCCAATGTCTTGAACGATGGTAGTTAAATACAACGGATCGTAAGTAGCATTTTTGTATGTCAATATGAACTCAGTTATTAACATTTAAATGATTTTGCATTTTCTTATTACGCATTTGGCTAGATATGGCATGGTGTGCTCTTTGATGACCTCAGGTGACCTTGAATGACATCTGAAGTTAATCTGACATAGTGTATAAAATTGCTTGAATCCCTGTAACTTTCCGTTTGGCCGTGATGTCTGAACATATACGCGTCACAAACTTCGGCGTAGTAATATTTGCCAGCGAAAATAAAGAAAGCTTAAACATTGCATGTTTTCTTATAACTGATTAATGTCGAAATATATTTTAAAATAGATGGGGCTTAATGGTGATCGACAATTCAATCATGAGCTAGATCAAAACTGCTTAACTTAATGTTCAAAGTGGAATCAGTGTTATTAGCGTATTTGTAAGTGTCAAATCGAAACGGTTGACTGCGTTGCTGCGATC